ATATTAAAAGATAATCGTGAAGAGTATTGAAGATGCACCCGAAAATCGGGAAGCAATAACGAAAGATGTTGTCTATTGTACGAATTGTAGCTTAGAATTATTAGTGATGTTCTTTTACGGTCTGCCGATAATTCTCTGTGTCGCCGCCTCAAGTAAGGGTCACTATAGCCTCATATTTCACGAGAACTGCACCCATAAATCGAGATGTTGTCGCTCGTCATATGTCACCTCCTACATCGCTTGTCGACCGCGGCGGTGCGGGACGTATAGAGCGGCGACCGCGGCGGTGCGGGACGTATAGAGCGGCGACCGCGGCGGTGCGGGACGTATATAGCGGCGACCGCGGCGGTGCGGGACGAATATAGCGGCGACCGCGGCGGTGCGGGACGTATATAGCGGCGACCGCGGCGGTGCGGGACGTATATAGCGGTGACCGCGGCGGTGCGGGACGTATATAGNCGGGACGTATATAGCGGCGACCGCGGCGGTGCGGGACGTATATAGCGGCGACCGCGGCGGTGCGGGACGTATATAGCGGCGACCGCGGCGGTGCGGGACGTATATAGCGGCGACCGCGGCGGTGCGGGACGTATATAGCGGCGACCGCGGCGGTGCGGGACGTATATAGCGGCGACCGCGGCGGTGCGGGACGTATATAGCGGCGACCGCGGCGGTGCGGGACGTATATAGCGGCGACCGCGGCGGTGCGGGACGTATATAGCGGCGACCGCGGCGGTGCGGGACGTATATAGCGGCGACCGCGGCGGTGCGGGACGTATATAGCGGCGACCGCGGCGGTGCGGGACGTATATAGCGGCGACCGCGGCGGTGCGGGACGTATATAGCGGCGACCGCGGCGGTGCGGGACGTATATAGCGGCGACCGCGGCGGTGCGGGACGTATATAGCGGCGACCGCGGCGGTGCGGGACGTATATAGCGGCGACCGCGGCGGTGCGGGACGTATATAGCGGCGACCGCGGCGGTGCGGGACGTATATATACAATGTACAATACCGCGCCGTTATAATATACATTGAATATATTGTGGTCTTGATCATTGACGGAAAGTAATGAGACTCACGATTACGAAAGAGTGATAAATAAAGAGATATAATTAATGGGAAATAGCGACGCGTAGTACTTATGGGGCAGTAATATCGTAATGATTGTTGATGAATAATGTTTCTGTAATAAATACGGGGGTCATTTTGATTTCTTCGTTCTTGAATAAAATCTCGATACTGTATGCCAACTATCCAGTTTGATGTGAGTGTGACTACTTGTATTAGAAATGTTTATGAGTCGTTGAAACTAAAATTCACATTAATATCTCTTTCTATTGTGATCAACTTGGCTGTCGCGTCTGCTTTTCCATCAATTGTCAGTCATAAGAAGCACAATGTACATGCTATGCACTCTGATAACCTTATCCACAACCTACGAAACAGTGCAATGTTGTTCGGTGCTCATCACAATAAGTCCCAAGATTTCCTAAAAACGATTACCAAGTAGCTAATTATTCCCGATAAACTTCTATTCCCGATAAACTTCTTTATATCACTTGTGAATGATGACAAAGCAATATATTTTACAAGCCTCTTCAATATTGGCCATTGTTGAGGTGCAGAATTTATTGACCATCAAACACACAGCCTCGATTTTTCCTATTGCCCTCCTGAAAATTGTGTGATTATAAACTTAAGCAAGTGCCCATCTGTTGGCAATGCCGATACCAATATAAAATTTATCTTCGACTTACTATGTGGCATGTGCTCGGTGAAAATATTATTTTATTCCATTCAACAATTTGTTCATATGAAAGGTTGTGATCCACTGACTAATGATCAGATGTTGGGGGCGACTTGTCCAACCTTCTGTTAATGTGCTAGTCCAGACACAGAGGAAGCTGTAGCGCTCAGGATAGCCCTATGTGGACTGCATTATATAAATTGTCATTTCGTTTGACATGCTTTGAACTCCACTTAGTACTGAAAAGATACATCTGTCATTTGATCGAATATCTATTATTAGATCTATCAAGATAAATCTATAATTTAATTGAAAAATCATGTACACTGTATATGTTCATGTACATATGTAGTCTTGTATAATTACCATCCACTCAAAGTACAAACCGAGTATGATACCTTCAACTTTTGCCCAAGTTGATTCTCATTCAGCGTTGATCTGAGAATTATAAAATTCATTTGATAAGTCCAAACCTTAATACATCATTCAAATCGTAGCTGATCGTATCGTAAGTGTCCGCGTTTGCCTAGCTTCTGTCACTGCGTTCTTCAAGTCTAGAGGCATTGGGTCAAGTACATCGCTTTCGCTATTCTAACAGCGACTGTATAATTTGTATTGAAGCTGAATAAACAGAAGTAAAATTCTAATCTATGATCATTTTGCCGTCACCAGGCCTTGGTTGACTTTAATTATAAACTTTTCACGTGCCCCTATGGTTATTTTCCGTTAATTTTCAAAATACTGCGTGAACTCTTGGAAAGAGACTGTTGTCCCCAGCTCATTTGACCCAACTCTTATAAATAAACTGCGTGAAATCAAGGTAAGCGGTTAATGAGATGTCTTAATCTCCAAGTTTAACTTTAAAATATTCAAAACATAATTGTTGACAAAGTTCCTGATATCCGCCTTGCTACCGCGTGGTGTGCAGTGTGATAAAACTGAACACAATCCCTACGACCACGACGCGTCTTTCCAGAAAAACTGTGCCATGGGAATTGGAGCAGACTTGCCCCCAATTCCTAGACTTACCTGACCCCGTTAGCGTCAGAGGTAAGGTTCCACGACAGGTTTTGTTTTACAGAAATTGTGCCCGCGGCAAGAAAAGAGCGGTCCTACGTCTGGTCCCATCACTCTATTTCAGGGGTAAATGAGCCCGCCACACACGGGCCACACGGGCCCGATGTGGCTCGCTGACCGTCGGTTGCTGATCTCTTAAAGATTATAAGTCTTGAGGGTTGGTGACCTCTTGAAGATTATAAGCCTTGAGGGGTCGGTGACCTCTTGAAGGTTATAAGTCTTGAGGGGTTGGTGACCTCTTGAAGATTATAAGTCTTGAGGGGTTGGTGACCTCTTGAATCTCTTATACACATCTAGATGTGTATAAGAGACAGATGTCTGATAACATAGTTGCATGAATGAGAGCTTGAATGGTGAACATAGTTGCATGAATGAGAGCTTGAATGGTGAACATAGTTGCATGAAGGAGAGCTTGAATGGTGAACATCAACGATTGGCAGGATGCAAGGCAGGCCAGGTTAGAAGACTCACGACGGTTAAGCCAAATTAGGGCAAATATAGGTATATAGGAACCATAAAAGTAATCAGCAACTGAAAGTTGTTACGTTCGTTTTTAGGTACGCATTTCTCATGTATCGAAGTAGAAATTAATGTAAAAATGTTCATGTAGTTATAATGTATCGATTTAAGAGAAGAATTCGGTTGTTAAACGTGCATTTCATTGGTAATGAAAGCATTTTATTGTTAAGTAAAGCAATCATTCATAGATCTGGTATTGAGATGCTAAGCTAGAACCATCAACCATCAGCGTCTTTCGGGAAGCTTAAATTTTGTATGTTATTACTCAAGTATTTTTATGAAAATTTTAAAAATTTTACTTATGGAAGTATTTGTTGAGAATGAAAAATTCAACAAATTGTGACCAACAACTATGAAGATGAAGAAACTTTGATTCTACTAACATAATAAAATAGCATATGGAGATGAGGGCACAGTCTACCAGGATGCCACGAGAATTTCCTTTATTTATGTCAGGTCAAAATGCAACTTGTTTCTAAGAATTTTGCGCAGTGAATTGCACAGTGCTGCACTCTAATATATGCGCATTATTTCAGTTAATTTCAGAGAACAATACATTGCTTTAAAAGTAAATACTTCTTTTCGGTAATTTTCATGCTTCATTGACGCAATTTGTTCGTTTTAATGAGTTGAATTAAGCTCTGTCGCGCGTTCAATCAAGATGTTGGAAATGCTTTAAAGCCATGTATTGAATTAACTCCAATATACAGGGTGATTCACGTAAACTTCCTGATTTGAAAGCTCAATAAAAAAGAATTAGTAGAGATATCATTACAATATAATTTTATTGAAAAAGACATTACCTGAATTTTTGTATCTCCTCTAAAGATTACATCGGACAAATGACGACTCCCAATGTCAATGCATTCAGTTCGTCGATTTTTGAAGTTTTGTTCAACTCGCTGCAGCATATTGACGGGTATGTTGGCGATGGCTTGGCGTATGTTTTTTTTCAAATGAGATAGCGTCCTTGTATAGTCCTTGTCTAAGGACGCTACCTTGGACAATGACTGCAGTCACACTTTCAGTTGTCCTACATGTATTCGCCCGCGTAAAGATCGATTTCCAATCAGGAACCCGTCCTGAAGGACGAATACGGAACCGGATACGGAATGCTCGTTGAGTAGTGATAATGGAACGGCCATTAGAAAACGCAAGCTGCACACTTGTTCAATGCATAGTGGCAACTGACTAGGCGGGACACTAAAGTTCATGACCTTGCTTTTCATATGAAGTACTGCCCGTCCTTTTTCCTACAACATCTGGCTGCATGGCGCGAAATACAAAACAGCAAGTTTCCGTGAATCACCTTGTATCATAAACGTGAAAGTGATGTTCACGTCAATTTCGAATTGCTGGCTTCTTACACGTGATTCCCGCTTTGCTTTCAGGCTATCCTTGCAAAGTCTAAATAATGTGCGTTGCATTTGAGGCGTTTATCGTCAAAGAGTGGATTAAGATTGTTGTTTCTTATAACTGAACTCTGCAGAGTGTGAATATTTATCTCAGAGTTTTCGCAATAGAGTATTTGTGGTGTAGAAAGTAGCACTATAATTTCCTCTCCCAATATTCCTGACTCATAACTTCATCATGTTCATAAAAAATTTGATTGATGTGAGAATTGACATTATTAGGATACTGGGAAATGGCTTTGTGAAGAATTACAATTAAAGTTATGAAACTTACGCTATGCTAGAGATGTTTGCCGATGCTATGCGAGTGATATTCGCCCGGTAACGTCTCGAAAAAATGTGTAACTGTCGGTTAGGGGAGTGAAGTGTTAATTGCTCGGATCTCGGAGACATAAAGTCATGGCTGCATCGGCATCATGATGCCGTTAGCCGTGAGGTTTGCGGCGATTCTTCTGGTGGCGGGATTGGTGTTGGTTCCCTCGGGTAGTCTATTTGCCCGGGCTGATGAGGAAGACCCTCTTCAGCACGCGTCGGAGGCCGTCACCAGGAACAGAACATTGCATGATATCCTCGATCTTCTGGCCAAAGCTGATCCTCCTGTCTCGTCTAATTCTCCCTTCAAAGATGAACCATGCAATCACACTCAGCTTGAGGACCTGAATGTTTCTGACGATCAGACATGGCGTTTTAAAGACGGCCTTCTGGGTGCCCTGCGTCTGGCGAGGCTTCTGAACGCTCTCTACCTCTCTCCGTCACATTCGTCTCTCCTGGCTACGCAACAGAGAGACGCGGGCAGCTATCGTTCTGGCTTCGGAGGCATTGTTGAGGAGTGGACGAAAGAAGATGGCAATAGAGGTGCGTCGAGGGGCAGAATCTTCGATAGGGTCACTGACACGTCGTTGCGTTCTGACTCCCTATCTTCTGATAAAAATTCAGGCCTGGAAGAAAGAAAGCACGTCTTGGGAGAAATTTTGCGCTCATCTCTACTGGACGAGAGCAGTATTTTGACCATGGGAATTGCCTTTTTGAGAGACGAGTTTATGGATTTGGATGGACTTTGGGGGGTGAACGCTTGGAGAGACACTGAAGGTGAAATCGTTCTCGGTGACTTGGCAAAGTTATATAACTATCAGTACGATGACGACCTCACGCCTGGCACGAGATGGTTTTCTGAAGTACTTAAGAGGTAAGTTCGTCGTATTGTTTTGAATTGCTGTCAATAATTTGTATTTTAAAATATTTTTTAAAAAATTTCCTCAGCGACGTGCTGAAATAAATATGCTGGGTTCGTCTTGTACAATTTTATGTACTACCTGAAAATGTCTGATACGGACATTTTTATGGGGGATCCTATAACTATCCCCACAAACAATCTACTTTTTCTGTGACCACTCTCTGTCGTCAACCAGTTTTTATGCTGAGGGAAATTCAAACTATTAACTTCATGTTGCTGCTAAGGCCTCAGCAGTAATAAATTTGGTATATAAAAGAATTGCGTGGCCGCGATTGGTTGTTTCGGACGACGTCGTCTGCGCTTTTATTTTTCCCGAATCGATAGCAAGGCAATTGCTTCTCGACTGATCAGAGTCAGTGAAAAATGTAACCTGATCTGGCCGAGAAAGACTGGAGCCTCGAGGCGGCTGAGCCCCCAGCCCCATCAATATTGCCTGTCTGCCCGTGGAAAAAGTCTTCTTACATTCCCTGGCAACCGCGGAATCTTGCCTCAAATTCAGTATTTTTCCAGTATTTTTCCCCTTAAAATTATCATCGGTCACACAGAACATTTTTTAAGTTGATATGTCAATTTGTTGGACTGTTTTTCTTAATTATTTCGGCAATTCAGAAGTCTTGATATTTTATTGGACGGGACTCTCATCACTCACCTCAGACTATATGCTATCTTTAATTCTTTCTCTTTGGTTACATTGCATGACGGCCATAATGTTGGAGTGAGCGTTTCCTAAGAAAGCGTAATTATCTTTTATGCTTCAAATTCATCCGTTATCAATTTAAGGAGCCGTAATTAATGAATAAGTATTAAGAAGAACAGCAAGATTGGTATCCAAAAATAAGTAGAGTGGCATTGGTACATATGCGTGACCGAAAATGTTTATGGAAATAAATCGAGTTAGAAGTGTCAGACCGTATAACGTATGGCGCCCAAAATTATGTTAATGCGTGTCCTCGAATCGGCAAGAATGACCTGAAGAAACCGTTCATTTTTTATGATAGCGGAGTAAAGTCGAGTTAGCCTTGAGAGTTATGAAAGAAAGGATTCTTTATATCAATGGGCGCCACCAAACTCGAATCGACCAAGATTTGTGTGTACATAAATACCGGCTTAATAGATTTTCTTTCAATGTCAGCGACGTAAAATTTTTGTTTCTTCCGTCCATTGATATTCTAAATTAAATTTACAGTTGACGTCATTAGTATAAAATCATTAATTCAATTCAATTTGGTTAAAACCGTCAATACAACTTCAAACAAACCGCGTATTGGAAAAATATTTTCAATCAAAAGGATATGTTCTTCGGAAAGAAAACGAATTCGGATTAATTTTTATATCGTGATTATCAGTTAAAAATACTAAAGCGACTGCGGTGCAACTCAACCTTGAAACAAGTTGTCTCGGTTTGTGTCACCAACACGTGGTGCAGTGTTCCTCTTGGTTGATGCCTATACACAGTTAGAAAAATTACCGTTAACGGTATTACCGGCGTTTCAGTGGCCGGTCGGCACGTGAAAAGAAACACCGTGTCGCCGTTTTTATTTTAATTTTACGCTAGAAATCCGTAAAACATCTGATAAAAACGGAGAAACAGTTTATTTTCACGGGGCGACCGGCCACTGGAACGCCAGTGGGACCGTTTTTTCACCGTTTTTTCTAACAGTGATAGAGCGTGATCCCATTAAAAAACTGCCTAGGCATGGGGTTGCAGTGGAATATGTTGTACAAGATGTGCATCCGACTTAGTAGACCTGGGATAAGACCGGTACAACATCAAAGTCAGTTATAGATAGATTAGGCAACAGACCAATGATAGACGTGCTAAAAAAGTCACAAACGTTAGAGGAATCGGCGACAGCCAGACCTATCCTAGTGTTCAACAGTGGCACTAGTCTACATTAATTTACAGTGTACAATACTGGTTAAAATTTTTTAAAAAGTTTGATAGATTTTTGTTTGCAGTCACGATGCAGCCGTGCATATAGGGCTACCTCGAGTTTTAGTGATCGCGTTATTCAGTTATTTAAGCTCCACTATAGACTACTTTTCCTTTTTGTGCTTTAGTAATTCACTCTATACTCACATTGCCTCCTCCTCCAGTTTGAAGTGAGGAGCTCGTCCTTGCCGGACAAGCTCTTATCTGGGCTCTTTTCAGCTGTATTAAATATGTATTCTGTTAACTTACGCTCGCCTTCCACGCTCTTACGAATTTAACACGACTGCTGTTTACGTGTAAAACGTTTATACTCTAACCCATTAATGTTTTCATTAGTAAGGCAGGGTGGCCCAGTAGTTACAGACTTACAGATCTGCAGAGTATAGTACCAGGATTGGAGCAGAGAGGCGCGGATTCGATCCCAGCTCTGTGCGCCAGTTTCTGGTCAGAATCGGCAAGGAGGCCGGGCGGTTAAGCATAGCAGAATTGTAGCAGTGAGTTGCGAGTTCGAGACCGCAAAATGCTGTGAATGTTCTGCGATGTTCAGAATCGGCGACAGGCCTACGGCCTAATAAACACTTGAAACAGCTATTATTGAAACCGCTATAAGGAATTTTCAACATATTTTATTTCCGAGCAAAATTTTCTTTAAGTATGACTTAAGAGTTTTTCCTGAATAGTTATAAGTAATTTAATTCAAGTCTATAATTGTACCATCCTCAGCGATGAATAAGCACGACCATGTATCTCCTGGAAGCAACTGCTTCACTTCAAATCCGGTCTGTCCAGTTAGTCATTTTCTGTCTAATTTACAGAAGGTTCCCTCAATAGATCGTAGAATTGAAAAGAAATGACCGTGTCCGTTAATTCAGGTTTAGTTATCCCTCGGGTATTACCAGATATAGAACTCCGTTAAGGTTTCAAGGGGTAAACTACCAGGAGTCTGATTTCTTTTTGGATGAAATTAACGGTCTCCAGAATTCTGCCCGTGCTCATTTGTGTACAAGCGAGGAACTGTTTAGAACTACATTACGGCTAGAAATTTTCTAATGACAAACGCTCCGCCATGAATGTTAGAGTGGCTGATTTTTGTGCAATTAATTGACAAACCCATGGTTTGAAAACCATAGAATAAGTGTTCCATGATTTGAAAACCATAGAATAAGGGGTTTTCGCGGTTTTAAAGCCAAACCCATGGTTTGAAAACCATAGAACGATTCATGTCCTTATTGCATCCAACTAGTAAATTTTGGCTGCTTTGAAGCGTTCACGACTTCCAACTGGGACGCTCCTGGCTTGACTATAAAAGCATAAATATCAATTGTTTGCACAGGAAAATCTTGGCTAGCTAACTAGATTTGCATGGCTCGCTTATCTCGATGGTAATTGAACCTCTAATTGGATGAATGAACTGCGTGGTCTCTGTTAAGCCCCTATCGCGCATTAAATGGTAAGTTAATTATCACTCCTAAGACTCGGAAGGCCTCCGCCACGAAGTAAGTCTCCACCAACGCAGTTCTGCTATCTACAATAAAGAAAGCTCATTATGCCAGACATAACAATTTCTTGTAAGCGCAACAGAGTCGGTCTTCGTAGTCAGAGTGTTGACTGTTGATGATTCTATGTAGGAAGTTCCATTCGCTTCAATACCTGGAACACGAGTTTCAGATGATGACTTCACTAATCCTTACATGGAAGTCTCCTAAACTGGACGTTGGCCAATGGTACCAACTTAATCTGTGCATAATTTAATGGAAAATTCAATTTCTAATAACGACGTAACTTAAATTCCTGTACGATTGTCCATCATCATTTCCAAACGATCTAATTTTTCATAACGAATCATTAAGAATTAACACCCTTCACACCATTCACTGCTCTATTAACTAAACCATCCTTTTAGAATTAGAACTATCGTTGTGAATACAAAGACAAGACAAAATCAATAAACAGCAGCGATAGTACGCCGCCTTTTACTTACTAAATATTTAATTTAGTAAGTAAGTAATTTAGTATTTAATATTAATGCGTAATAGAATTCGCAGGCGAATCAACTGTCGGACGAAGACGAGCGGGCCTCTCGAGAGGTTAGAACACGAGCTTCACGTGAGCGGTTGTCGGTAGAAAGCTAAAAAATATAACTTAGTACTCACTGCAGTGAGTGACAGAGAGCGCATTTTCTCGTCGACGAAAACTTGAGGTCACGGACGGACGGACAGACAGACAGACATGGCGAGCACAGCGATAGTATTTTTTCCATAAATGAGAAAATGCGCTAAAAACACTGGTCGCTGGTACTTGAGAAGACACATGTCTTATGACAGAATCTCCCATTCCCAAGAAAAAAGGATACATGTGTGATTGATGAAGCTGTACACACACTCGGCACAGTGATACACAATTAATTAACGCTACAGAAACAAAACATGGATGACTTGCTTGATGAAACTGGCGTGGCTGCCTGACCGGGGGTGAACCTAACCTGATTAAACGGAGGTACATTTTTGTAAAAGGTGGGGTACGTTCTCGGATACGTGTCGAGTAAAGCTACGATAAATGTAGGATCGAGAAGAAATACATGCTCAATAAATCAAACGGGCAATATTTGCTATAATGCACGCTTGAACTCCCTGCGATGCACGATACTTTAGGTTTTAGGAGGTATTGATTAGTATTGCTTTTGGCCGTTCATGGATTAAATATTAAGAAAATTATTGTAGGTTGGGGTTTAAGATAAGGTATGACAACAAAGATAGAATTTTCTTTGTTAATTAAAGGATGATGGTGCCGACCAACACCTGGCCGGCGATATTAAATCAAAGAAATCAAAATATCAAGAGAATAAACTGGGAACGCAAACCGTCATTGACAAATTATGTCTTTCCAAATGTGATAGAAGACAAAAATAGTATAAAACGCTTCATAATTATAACCACAGAAAGGTATCTGGAGCTGATTTCAAACACATTCGTACAGCTGATCTCGGAAGTATCACAAATATAAATTTATGATTGTTGCA